AAACTTGAAAAAAAATTTTTTGAAAAAACCATCCTATTGATAGATTTTAAAAAAATATTTTCATAAAACCAGGCCTGTTGATAGATTCTAACAAAAATATTTGAAAAAACCCCCGCCTGTTGATAGATTCTAAAAAATATTTTCAAAAAACCGCGCCTGTTTATAGCCACTAAAAATATTTTTAGAAAAACCACGCCTCTTGGTAGACTACCAGTAAGGAAAGTCCAAAAGTCGGACGGGGCCCGACTATATGATACCCTTCACCACTTTGGGTACATACAAGAGATGTTAATATCTACAATATCCTGTAGATATAACAGACATAGGATCATTGGAGGACCATTGAGATGGAATAGGACGAAATTAAATGTGCTTTCTAAATAGATATTTAAACCAATTGAAAAAAAATTCCCATACACATAACATTCGGAAATCAATGAAACATTGCATGTCAAACGGGCAGACTTTTGATTCATTGGTGTACCATTTGTATGAAATTGAGTAAAATTATGTATAGGAGCTATACATAAACACATGGACCTAATTGAGCAACCGTTGCATACACAATTTGTTTTTTGTTATCACTCTATATTCAATTTAATACCATCTGCCAAATTTCGTGTAAATCGAATAAACATAGGCCCTTCGGTGCACCATTTACATAAAATCGAACGAAAATATATATAAGACCTATATCAAAATCTGAACCGATTTCAACCAACCTTCTCTCAGTTTTTCCTCAATTGCATTCGCTATGCAAAATTTTGCTCAATCGGACAAATATTGGGAGTTTTGTGCACCATTCACATAAAATCGGACGAAAATATATAAATGGGAGCTATATCTAAATCTGAACCGATTTTAACAAAACTTCACAGACATCAATCTGGACCTAATTCAGTACTATGTGCAAAATTTTGCTCAATCTGACATAACATCGGTCGAAACCATATATAGAAGCTATATCTAAATCTGAACCGATTCCCGCAAAACTTCGCATACATAATTATGGCACTGATTCAGTGCGTTGTGCCTAATTTTTTCCCAATTGGACAAATATTGGGAGATTGGTGTATCATTGACAAAAAAATCGGACGAAACTATACATGAGAGCTATATCTAAATCTGAACCGATTTTATCAAAACTTCACAGACATGAATCTGGACCTAATTCAGTACTCTGTGCAATATTTTGTCTCAATCGGACAAATATTGGGAGTTTCGTGCACCATTCACATAAAATCGGACGAAACTGTATATGGGAGATATATCTAAATTTGGCCCGATTTTCTCGAAACTTGACACACATCATTCTAGCCCCAATTCAGTACCCTATGCCAAATTTCGTGCAAATCGAAATATATATAGCGACATTGGTGCACGATTTACCTTAAATCGGATGAAACTATATATGGGAGCTATATTTGAATTTTAACCAATTTTCACGAAACTTAGCACACATCATTCTAGCCTAATTCAGTACCCCATATGTAGGTACTTTGGTGCCCCATTTACCTTAAATCGGACATAAATATATATATATATATATATATATATAGGAGCTATATCTAAATCTGACCCGATTTTCTCGAAACTTGACACACATCATTCTCGCATCAATTCAGTACCCTATGCCAAATTTCGTGCAAATCGAAGGGTATACAGGGACTTTGGTGCCCCATTTGCCTTAAATCGGATGAAAATGTATATGAGAGCTATATCAAAATCTGACCCCATTTTCTCGAAACTTAACACACGTCAGTTTAGACTCAATTGAGTACCCTATGCCAAATTTCGTGCAAATCGAAGGGTATACAGGGACTTTGGTGCCCCATTTACCTTAAATCGGACGAACATATATATCGGAGCTATATCTCAATCTGACCCATTTTTCTCGAAACTTGAAACGCATCATTCTAGCCTTAATTCAGTAGCCTATGCCAAATTTCGTACATATCGAAAGATATATATTGACTTTGGTACCCCATTTGCCATAAATCGGACGAAAATATGTATGGGAGCTATACCTAAATCTCAACTGATTTTCACGAAATTTAATACACATCGTTCTAGACTTAATTCAGTACTGTGTGCCAAATTCCGTGCACATCGAAGGATATATAGAGACTTTGATGCACTATTTACCTAAAATCGGACGAAAATATATATGGGAGCTATATCTAAATCTGAACCGATTTTCAGGAAACTTTACACTCTATATATAACTGTGAACCGATTTTCTCGAAACTTAACATGTATCATTCTAGACATCATTCAGTACGCTATGCCAAATTTCGTGCAAACCGAAGGATATATAGTGACGGACATACATAAATCGACTTAGAATTGATGATTCTATGCACATTCTCAAAAGGAACCATGTTTCTATCTCGTTTCTTTTTGCCTATTACAAACATATGCACAAAGACATAATAACCTGCACTACAGTGTGGTGACGGGTATAAAAATCCACGCCTGTTGATAGTCTAAAAAATATATTTTTTTTAAATCTACGCCTTATGTTCGAACTTGGAAAAAAAAATATTTTTAAAAAATCCACACATGTTAGTAGTCTCTGAAAAAAAATTTGAAAATCCACGCCTTGTATAGGGCCTTGAAAAAGTACTCTCTAAAAAATAAATTATTATATTTTCTATTCAGTGTAGGCCAACTTTTGCTCTTTAGTGTGTTTTCAGTAAATGTCTGGTTCAGTTTAACTTATGTTCGCACACAGTAGAGCTATTGTACTTTAGCTGTATGTTATGCAAAGCTTTTACCTTAACGTCGGCTATAGTAACCTAGCATTATGCAAGATGGCGCTGTTTATTTTACGGGAAAAATTAATTGACCACGCTAATAATTTAAAATATTTTTTGGAGACCTTCGAAAGGCGGAGATTTGTTAAAAAATATTTTTCAAAGTCTGGCAAAATTGGATTTTTTATAAATGTTCTCTGAAGAGATTTAATAGGTTTAATAGGCTTTTTTTTTAATATTTTTTGATATTTTCAATAGGCGTCGATTTTTTAACGATATTTTTTTTACAGATTTACAGCATATTTTTTTATTTATATTTATAAAATTATATTTTTTTGTTTTAGTTTTTGTCACACACTTCATTTTAGATCTGCTCAAAATTCAAATAAATCGGATCAACGGGACTCATTGTTGGTGATGTGGGATTAAACTGCAGTGGAACCTTTGTTTTCGAGCTGAGTGTAAAACGATAACGACTAACCATGTTGGCCAATGAGAGTCGCGATTGCAGTTTACCAAATCGTAGACCAATACAGTTGCGAGGTCCATCGCCAAAACCCAACCATTCCACTGATTCACGATTCTTTATTATTTCTGGGGCAAAACGTTCTGGATCATAACATTCAGGATTTGGATACAGTTCAGGATCCCTGTGTATACCCAAAACGGGTATAATGGTCATGGTACCAGCTTCAAAAATGGAGCAACGGGGTATTTGCGCAGAGATTCTAGGGAAAAAGCGGGTTATTATTATTTTTTGTTTTTTTTTTGCATTTTTTGAGATGTTTTTCCAACTTACCACACAGCACCTGATTGAGGTAGGGCATTTCTCCCAAACTTTCATAGGTAAATTCCTTGTACTTCTCCAAAGTCTTGGTGACCTCCTGTCTTAGCCTCTCCTGCATTTCCTGGTTTTGGGCCAATTCGAAAAGGGCAAATGTCACTGTCGATGAGGAGGTTTCAAAACCAGCCAAAAAGAAAACAAAAATCTGGGCAGCCATTTCCTCAAATGTCATGCCACCCAGGCCCGATTTATCCTCCTTGTTGTCCTTCCTCAAATCAATTAAAATATTCACAAAATCATTTCGCTGGATTTTATGCTTCTCACGATAGTCCACAGTATCCCTGATGGTTTTCATAAAGAACTGATGGACATCTTCGGGCAGGATACGCATCCCCTGCTTCTTGGCCAACTTGGGGAAACTATCAATGAATGCCATTATGGCCATATTATGACGTTGCTGCTCAATGGATTTCCGACCCAGTCGAATAAAATCATCTTCGTCATTTTTCAAACTGTTGCACTCAATACCGAAGGCCACACGACCAATTATCTCCATACCAAGACGTCCGAGTAGATCACGAACTTCCACCTCCTTTCCATGTTGAACCTTTTCGCTTAAAACTTCCATAAAATCCGCCACCACTTGGGTCACTGTGGGATACATAAACTTCATTTTACCCGACGTGAAGGCTGGGGAAATCTTATTTCTCATTTTGCGCCACTTCTGGCCATCGATGAAGAACAGATGACCCGTCAATGGATCATCCTTCTCGTTGTAGTACATGCCACGATCCGTGAAATTATTAAAATCCTTAATCATTACATTTTTAATGGTGGGTATATCCAAGAGCACCGCAACGGGACGCTGACCCACGTACATGCCGGCAAAGGGACCCGTGCCCTTATATTTCCTATAATAATCCGTTAAAAGTTCACCCAACGATCGGGTATTGCGATATTCTTGAATATTCCCCAATAGTAAGTGAGGTGGGTCATGAGGAATACCACGATTTTTCCAATAGTTTAGATTACGACGAAAATATAAGACCAACAATGAAATGATCGCTGTGAGCAGATAAAAGAGCAGCGTTAGTACGTCCATGTTCGCAAAGTTGTGAGGGTACGCGGTCGACTGATTTTGTGTTTTGCCGAAAATTGTCTGCTTTTGTACCGAGCATATGTTTGGGCTATTTACTGATTATGTTTGTTAATCGGTTAATTATGCTATGACCAGTTAGAGATAAAACAGAAAATAGGCGAAACATAGTAAATAGATTTGATATTGATTAGATACAAAGCACCCTATAGAAGGTAATGGAGAATAGGTATTAGATTTTAGATTTTCTCAGGGCTCTTTCAGAATGGTGGATTTTTTAAAAATATTTTTTGGAGACTATCACAAGCCGTGGAGTTTTTTTTTTATTATTTATTTCCCTTAAATCAAATCTTAAACCTAATCTCTAAATTTCTTCCACTTTCAGATAAATTTCGTGGATGGGTGTCAGTACCAAAGGCTTGGCCTGGAATGTCAATGTCAGCGGCGTCTTTGGGCAAACACTGAAACGGAAACGCCTCAAGGCACTGGCCAATCCGAGGCGTGTTTGCATTTTGGCAAACCGAGCACCAATACAATTCCGGGGACCATCACCAAATGGCATCCATTCAATGGGATCCCGTTGCTTAACCATATCGGCTGTAAAACGTTCCGGATCAAATTCCTGCGGATTGGGATAATATTCTGGATCATGTTGTATGCCCATGATGGGAATGAAAATCGGTGTACCCTTTGGTATTACAAATTTCGGATTACCCGGTACAACGTAGTCCTTTAGGGCCTGCCGATTCAGGAATGGTAAAATCGGGTATTTGCGTAGGGTTTCTGAAAGGGAAGGAAAGGGAATTAATTCTAATTTTAAAAATAATTTTTGTTTCAAATCCCTTACCCGATATCACCTGATCCAAATAGGTCATGTTCATAATAACATCATATGTTAGTTCCGGGGTGCTTTCATACACTTCATTGATTTCTTCCCTTAGTCGTTCCTGTAACTGCTGATTCAGGGCCAATTCATAGAGAGTATAGGCCATGGTCGATGATGAGGTTTCGAAGCCAGCCAAAAAGAAAACAAACACCTGAGCAGCCAACTCCTCCAACTCCATACCCTCCAGCCCCGTCTTACCATCCACTGAATTTTTCAGCTCAATTAAAATATTCAAAAAATCACTGCGCTGAATATTGTGCTGTTCCCGATAGGCCACCGTCTCTTTAATGGTGTTCATAAAGAACTCATGAACATCCTGAGGCAGTATCCGCATGCCAAGGATTTTCGCCAATCGCGGAAAGCTGTCAATCAAAATCATAATCAAGGCATTGTGCCGTTGTGTTTCAATGGACTTGCGACCCAGTTGCAGGAAGTGATCATCCGAATTTCGCAGGCTGTTGCACTCAATACCAAAGGCCACACTTCCGATTACATCCACAGTGTATCGTGCCAAAATATCCCGAACATTTAAAATGGGATCTTTTTCCACCTTGTCAGCCAAAACAGCCATAAATCGATCGGCCACCTTCAGCACAGTGGGGTACATATATTTCATTTTACCCGACGTGAAAGTTGGCGAAAGTTTATTACGCAAACTACGCCATTTATCGCCATCCACAAAGAATAAATGTCCCGTCAGCGGATCGGTTTTTTCATTATAGTACAGACCACGATCGGTAAATTGGGTAAAATCCTTGATGAGAACATTTTTAATGAGCTGCTTGTCCAGCAACACCACACCTGGCCTCTGGCCACTATATATACCCGCGAAGGGTCCGCAGCCCTTGAATTTCCTATAATACGTGGCCAAAATTTCACCCATACACCGATGAGTCCGTAAACCGGTCATATTGCCCATAATGATGGTGGGTTCCTCGTGCGGTATACCCAATCGCTTCCAATAATTTAAATTTCTCCTGAGCAAATACACCACTGCCGAGGCAATGGCTATGATGAGATAGATCACAATTCCCGACGATTCCATTGTCACGACGACCTTCACGAAATCGATGTAACTGGCACTGTGGTAGATTCGTTCTAAATATTTATACCCTCCTCAAGAGGGTCTATTCAGTTGTTACAGTTGTTATTGTGGCACTTCTCTTATCTACGAAAATTAATCGTTTTTTTGTTCTTGGTCAAAGCTCTATAAGTGCCCTATAAAGTTGTTGTTGATTAAACGGTCGAAACGGTCTAGTTGAGCCCTACACTTTAATAGGCGAGAATTTTTTTTAAACGTCCATTACCAGGCAATGATATTTTAAAAATATTTTTTCAAGATCTAAAGCAAATAAAGTCTCAAAAAAAAAAATATTTCTAAGAAGTCCATGCCTTTTCATAGTCTCCAATAAATATTTTCCAAATTTCGTGCACATCGAAGTATATAGAGGGACTTTGGTGCACTATTTACCTAAAATCAGAAGAAAATATATATAGGATCTATATCTAAATCTGAATCGATTTTCACGAAACTTAGCACACGCTATTCTAGGCTCAATACAGTACGCTGGGCCAAATTTCGTGCAAATCGGAAGATAAATAGGGACTTTGGTGCACCATTTACATTAAATCGGACGAAATTATATATGGGAGCTATATCCAAATCTGAACCGATTTTCACGAAAATTAACACACATCATTCTAGACTCAATTCAGAACGCTGTGCCCAATTTTGTGCAAATCGAATGATATATAGGGACTTTGGTGCCCCATTTATCTTAAATCGGACGAAAATATGTATGGGAACTATATCTAAATCTGGACCGATTTTCACGAAACTTAGCACAAGTCATTCTTGACTCAATTCAGTAGACTGTGCCAAATTTTGTGCAAATCGAAAGATATTTAGGGACTTTGGTGCACTATTTACCTTAAATCGGACGAATATGTATATGCGAGCTATATCTAAATCTGACCCGATTTTCTCGAAACTTAGCACACGTCATTCTAATCATAATTCAGTACGCTGTGCCACATTTCGTGCAGATCGAAAGATATTTAGGGACTTTGGTGCACCATTTTCCTTAAATCGGACGAATATGTATATGGGAGCTATATCTAAATCTAAACCGATTTTCACGAAACTTAGCAAACGTCATTCTAGACTCAATTCAGCACTCTGTGCCAAATTTCGTGCAAATCGAGAGATATTTAGGGACTTTGGTGCACCATTTACCTTAAATCGGTTGAAATTATATATCGGAGCTATATCTAAATCTAAACCGATTTTCACGAGACTTAGCACACATCATTCTAGACTTAATCCAGTACGCTGTGCCAAATTTCGTGCAAATCGAAAGATATTTAGGGACTTTAGTGCATCTGAACAGATTTTCACGAAACTTAGCACACATCGTTCTGCACCTAATTCAGTAATATATGCCAATGTTCATGCAAATCGAATGATATATAAGCACTTTGGTGCACCATTTACCTTAGATCGGACGAATATGTATATTGGGGCTATATCTAAATCTAAACCGATTTTCACGAAACTTAGCAAACGTCATTCTAGACTCAATTCAGCACTCTGTGCCAAATTTCGTGCAGATCGAAAGATATTTAGGGACTTTGGTGCACTATTTACCTTAAATCGGACGAATATGTATATGCGAGCTATATCTAAATCTGACCCGATTTTCTCGAAACTTAGCACACGTCATTCTAATCATAATTCAGTACGCTGTGCCACATTTCGTGCAGATCGAAAGATATTTAGGGACTTTGGTGCACCATTTTCCTTAAATCGGACGAATATGTATATGGGAGCTATATCTAAATCTAAACCGATTTTCACGAAACTTAGCAAACGTCATTCTAGACTCAATTCAGCACTCTGTGCCAAATTTCGTGCAAATCGAGAGATATTTAGGGACTTTGGTGCACCATTTACCTTAAATCGGATGAAATTATATATCGGAGCTATATCTAAATCTAAACCGATTTTCACGAAACTTAGCACACATCATTCTAGACTTAATCCAGTACGCTGTGCCAAATTTCGTGCAAATCGAAAGATATTTAGGGACTTTAGTGCATCTGAACCGATTTTCTCGAAACTTAGCACACGTCATTCTAATCATAATTCAGTATTCTGTGCCAAATTTCGTGCAAATCGAAGGATATATAGGGACTGTGGTGCACCATTTACCTTAAATCGGAAGATAAATATGGACTTTGGTGCAACATTTACCTAAAATCGGGCGAAACTATATTTGGCAGCTATATCTAAATCTGAACCGATTTTTACGAAACTTTGCACACATCATTCTAATCATAATTCAGTACGCTGTGCCAAATTTCGTGCAATTCGAAAGATATAGCGGGAATTTGGTGCCCCTTTTACTTTAAATCGGACGAACATATATATAGAAGCTATATCTAAATCTGAACCGATTTGTTCCAATTTCAATAGGGTTCGTCCTTGAACCAAATAAGTGACCTATGCCAAATTTTATCCAATGCGAATCATAAATGTTTACAATTTAGCATGGACAGACAGACTGAACGACGGACGGACGGACATGCATAAATCGATTTAGAAAATGATTCTATGCATATTCTCAAAATGAACCATGTGTCTATCTCGTTTCCTTGTGCCTGATACAAACATATGCACAAATTCATACCACAGTGGCGTGAAGTGTAAAAAGTCCACGCCTGATGATAGTCTCTAAGAAAATATTTTTAAAAAATCCACGCCTGTTGATAGTCTCTACAAATATTTTTAAAATATTTAAAAACAAAATGTCTACGTCTATCTCCGAATTAAATTATAGCCCCCCTTGGTTTGCTTATCAAGCCAATATTGTTCAGACTTAATTGTTTGCTAGACAATTGATAATAAAAGGCTTAACAGGTTTCGTTTTTTTTTGAATTTGTGATACAGAGGCCAAAATGATTTAGCAAAAATTTTGTCTTGGGTTCCTCGTTGATAACGTCATGACTTTTCACATTTCAGTATTTAAATTGCGTTTATTTTATTTTAATAAGGAGACACACTTCGATAAGAAAAAAATCGGAGTGATTTCGGGGCATTGATAATAATCTATTTTTATATTATAGAAATTAGACATATTTGCATAGCAGCTAGACATTAATGATAGTCATGGGAATATGGGTGGGAGAAATTGGAGAGGTGTCTGGGAACGATGGTATTTTCTGTTTTAATATTTATGGAGGGTATATATATTTTTTTCAAGGCCTATAACAAGACGTGGATTTTTATACCCTTCACCACACTGTGGTACAGGGTATTATGTCTTTGTGCATATGTTTGTAACAGGCAAAAATAATCGAGATAGACCCATGGTTCCTTTTGAGAATATGCATCGAATCACTTTCTAAGTCGATTTATGCATGTCCGTCCGTCTGTCTGTCTGTGCATGTTAAATTGTAAACAAAGTACAGGTCGCATTTATGATCCGAATTGGATGAAAGTTGGCACAACACATTTGTTTGGCCCAAGGACGAACCCTATTGAATTTGGGAAAAATCGGTTCAGATTTAGATATAGCTCCCATATATATTTTCGTCCGATTTAATGTATTTTGTCATGCTTTATTTTTTCCTTCACTTTATTTGCGGTATTTTCATTTCACACACATACACAAATTCCCCACTTCAAATCTCTTCAAAATTCAAAAAAATCGGTTCGACGGGACTCATTATTGGTGGCGTGGGATTAAACTGCAGTGGAATTTTTGTCTTCGAACTGAGGGTAAAACGATAACGACTAACCATGTTGGCCAATGATAGACGCGATTGCAGTTTACCAAATCGTAGACCAATACAGTTACGGGGTCCATCACCGAAACCCAACCATTCTACCGATTCACGATTCTTTATCATTTCCGGGGCAAAACGTTCAGGATCAAAACATTCAGGATTGGGATACAGTTCCGGATCCATGTGTATACCCAAAACGGGTATAATGGCCATGGTACCAGCTTCAATCTTATATTTCGGATGCTGGGGTATAACATAGTCGTTCAAAGCTCGACGTGTCAAAAATGGTACAATTGGATATTTGCGTAGAGATTCTAGGGTGGAGGGAAATGGAGGGGTTATTTTTGGATTTTTTTGAAGTATTTTTAAAACTTACCACACAACACCTGATTGAGGTAGGGCATTTCTCCCAAACTTTCATAGGTAAATTCCTTGTACTTCTCCAAAGTCTCGGTGACCTCCTGTCTTAGCCTCTCCTGCATTTCCTGGTTTTGGGCCAATTCGAAAAGGGCAAATGTCACTGTCGATGAGGAGGTTTCAAAACCAGCCAAAAAGAAAACAAAAATCTCAGCAGCCATTTCCTCAAATGTCAAGCCCCCCAGTCCCGATTTATCCTCCTTGTTGTTCTTCAAATCGATTAAAATATTCACAAAATCATTTCGCTGGATTTTATGTTTCTCACGATATTCCACAGTATCTCTGATGGTTTTCATAAAGAACTGATGGACATCTTCGGGCAGGATACGCATTCCCAGCTTTTTGGCCAATTTGGGGAAACTATCAATGAATGCCATTATGGCCATATTATGACGTTGCTGCTCAATAGATTTCCGACCCAGGCGAATAAAATCATCTTCGTCATTTTTCAAACTGTTGCACTCAATACCGAAGGCCACACGACCTATTATCTCCATACCAAGACGTCCGAGAAGATCACGAACTTCCACCTCCTTTCCGCGCTGAACCTGTTCGCCTAAAACTTCCATAAAATCCGCCACCACTTGGGTCACTGTGGGATACATAAACTTCATTTTACCCGACGTGAAGGCTGGGGAAACTTTATTTCTCATGTTGCGCCACTTCTGACCATCGATGAAGAACAGATGGCCCGTCAATGGATCATCCTTCTCGTTGTAGTACATGCCACGATCCGTGAAATTATTAAAATCCTTAATCATTACATTTTTAATGGTGGGTATATCCAAGAGCACTGCAACGGGACGCTGACCCATGTACATGCCGGCAAAGGGCCCCGTGCCCTTATATTTCCTATAATAATCCATTAAAATTTCACCCAACGATCGGGTATTACGATATTCTTGCATATTTCCCAGTAGTAAGTGAGGTGGGTCATGAGGAATGCCACGATTTTTCCAATAGTTTAGATTACGTCGAAAATATAAGACCAACAACGAAATAATCGCCGTGAGCAGATAAAAGAGCAGCGTTACTAGTTCCATGATCGCAGTGTGGTGATGGTACGCGGCCGACTGATTTCGGTTTGCCGAAAATTATCTGCTTTTATTGGGAGCGTTTTGGGGTGATTTGAGAATAGCCGAAATTTAGATTTTTTTTGGGTAAATAGATTGGAAAGTGATAAGACAAAAAAACCACCCTACAGTGGGTAATGAACTATAATAAGAAGATTTTATAAGAATATTATCAGGGCTCTTCAAAAGGCATCGATGTTTTAAATTATTTTTTTTTTTTTTTGAGAGTAATAATAGCCGTGTTTTTTTATACCCTTCACCACACTGTGGTACAGGGTATTGTGTCTTTGTGCATATGTTTGTAACAGGCAAAAGGAAACGAGATAGACACATGGTTCCTTTTGGGAATATGCATAGAATCACTTTCTAAGTCGATTTATGCATGTCCGTCCGTCTGTCTGTCTGTGCATGTTAAATTGTAAACAAAGTACAGGTCGCATTTATGATCCGAATTGGATGAAATTTGGCATAGGTCACTTATTCGGCCCAAGGACGAACCCTATTGAAATTGGGAAAAATCGGTTCAGATTTAGATATAGCTCCCATATATATTTAACCGATTTAATGTAAACAGTCCCTATATATCTTTCAATTTGCACGAAATTTGGTACAGCCTAATCATTTAGGTCTAGAATTATGTCTGCCAAGTTTCGTGAAAATCGGTCCAGATTTAGATATAGCTTCCATATATAGTTTCGTCCGATTTCATGTAAATGGTGCACCAAAGTCCCTATATATCTTTCGATTTGCACGAAATTTGGCATAACGTACTGAATTAAGCCTAGAGTGATGTCTGCCAAGTTTCGAGAAAATCGGTCCAGATTTAGATATAGCTCCCATATATAGTTTCGTCCAATTTCATGTAAATGGTGCACCAAAGTCGCTATATATCTTTCGATTTGCACGAAATTTGGCATAACGTACTGAATTAGGTCCAGAATGATGTGTGTTAAATTTCCTGAAAATCGGTTCAGGTTTAGATATAGCTCCCATACATATTTTCGTCCGATTTTAGGTAAATATTGCACCAAAGTCCCTATATATCGTTAGATTTGCACGAAATTTGGCATAGCGTACGGAATTAAGTCTAGAACGATGTGTAAAAAATTTCGTGAAAATCGGTTCAGATTTAGATATAGCTCCCATATATATTTTCGTCCGATTTTAGGTAAATAGTGCATCAATGTCCCTATATATCCTTCGATTTGCACGAAATTTGGGATAGCGTACTGAATTATGTCTGGAACGATGTGTGTTAAATTTCGTGAAAATAGGTTCAGATTTAGATATAGCTCCCATATATATTTTCGTACGATTTTGGATTTATAAGTAAATTTGGATTTATAAGTAAATAAAGAACTCAAAATGTGGCCGAATGCAAAAACCATACTGAGATAAGTGTAACCTATATTTCGATATTTCGCTTTAAATTTATTTACATTATTTTGTCCCATCGTAAGAAGCAACTCTATACCTGACCAAAATTTAGTATAGGTTGCAGAATGAGATGTTTAATTTCATGTTAATGGTTCTTCAATAATGCGACGTCTGTTAGGATTCATCTGTTTAATATACCCACAGTGGTGAAGGGTATCATATAGTCGGCCCCGTCCGACTTTACTACTTTTCTTACTGGTTTTTTTTTTCAAAAACCAAACAAAGTGTGGATTTTTATACCCTTCACCACACTGTGGTACAGGGTATTATGTCTTTGTGCATATGTTTGTAACAGGCAAAAATAATCGAGATAGACCCATGGTTCCTTTTGAGAATATACATAGAATCACTTTCTAAGTCGATTTATGCATGTCCGTCCGTCCGTCCGTCCGTCTGTCCGTCTGTCCGTCTGTCCGTCTGTCTGTCCATGTTAAATTGTAAACAAAGTACAGGTCGCATTTATGATCCGAATTGGATGAAATTTGGCATAGGTCACTTATTCGGCCCAAGGACGAACCCTATTGAAATTGGGAAAAATCGGTTCAGATTTAGATATAGCTCCCATATATATATTTAACCGATTTAATGTAAACGGTCCCTATATATCTTTCGATTTGCACGAAATTTGGTGCAGCCTAATCATTTAAGTCTAGAATGATGTCTGCCAAGTTTCGTAAAAATCGGTCCAGATTTAGATATAGCTCCCATATATAGTTTCGTCCGATTTCATGTAAATGGTGCCCCAAAGTCCCTATATATCTTTTGATTTGCACGAAATTTGGCATAACGTACTGAATTAAGCCTAGAGTGATGTCTGCCAAGTTTGGAGAAAATCGGTCCAGATTTAGATATAGCTCCCATATATAGTTTCGTCCGATTTCATGTAAATGGCGCCCCAAAGTCCCTATATATCTTTCGATTTGCACGAAATTTGGCATAACGTACTGAATTAAGCCTAGAGTGATGCCTGCCAAGTTTCGAGAAAATCGGTCCAGATTTAGATATAGCTCCCATATATAGTTTCGTCCGATTTCATGTAAATGGTGCCCCAAAGTCCCTATATATCTTTCGATTTGCACGAAATTTGGCATAACGTACTGAATTGAGCCTATAATGATGTCAGCCAAGTTTCGTCAAAATCGGTCCAGATTTAGATATAGCTCCCATATATAGTTTCGTCCGATTTCATGTAAATGGTGCCCCAAAGTCCCTATATATCTTTCGATTTGCACGAAATTTGGCATAACGTACTGAATTAAGCCTAGACTGACGTCTGCCAAGTTTCGTGAAAATAGGTCAAGATTTAGATATGGCTCCCATATATAGTTTCGTCCGATTTCATGTAAATGGTGCACCAAAGTCCCTATATATCTTTCGATTTGCACGAAATTTGGTACAGCCTGATCATTTAGGTCTAGAATGATGTCTGCCAAGTTTCGTGAAAATCGGTCCAGAATTAGATAGATATAGCCCCTTTTATTATAGATTGATTTTAAGTAATTGACGCACCATATATATTTTCGCCCGATTTCAAGTAAATTTGGCATCAAACTCCTCATGTTAGACAGATTGACATCAAAGTTTGCACATCGTACAAAATTGTGCATAAAATTATATAGTTGCGTTTTCTAGAAGTACAGACATAGCCCTACGGATGACCTATTTATATTTGTTTGAAGTCGATTTACATACTTTATGGATAGATCTAGGTAGATTGACATTTAGATAAATTTCATCCAATTTCATGATAATAGTCCTGTGTAATATACCCATAGTGGTGAAGGGTATCATATAGTCGGCCCCGTCCGACTTTACTACTTTCCTTACTGGTTTTTTTTAGCAATTTGAAAATGTCTACGCCTATGTCCGAATCTAATTATAGCCCCTTGGATAGTGTAGAGTACACCTGCTCAAATGTTCTTATCAACCCCCCTCCTTTATTATTTGCCAGACATTTGATAACAAAACGTTTCGTTTGTTGTTGTTCTTTTGTGAACCTGTGGCACAGAGGAGGTCTTTAGCTCGCACGCCAAAATGATTTAGCAAAAATTTTGTGTTCGGTTCCTCATTGATAACGTCGTGACTTTCAGTATTTAAATTTCTTCTGTTATTTTTGTTGTTGTGTGATGATGAGGCACACTTTGAAAGAAATTCGGAGAGATTTTAGGGAATTGATAAAAATGTATTTTAGAACTACGCATTGAGACGGATTTGCTTAGCAGCAAGGTGTTGCTGATAAACGTGGGAATGTGGGAGGGAGAAATTGGAAAACGGCCTGGGAACTATGGTATTTTATATTATAAAATTTATGGAGGGTCTGGCAAATAATCCCGTCATCCACCAAAAGTACTTCAACTTGAATCTGATAACGTATTTCTGATAACGTAGTTAATAAGATCAATAGGCATCGCTGCATAGGCGATGCCTACTATAAGATACCCTATATAAGATATAGATACCCGACTATAAGATACCCTTCACAATCCGATAAGACGTAGAATCGAGATTAGATAGAATGGTTCAATAACTTCTTTAGACAGTATGTCTATTGTAATTGATATTCATATATCAAGTGTAGTCTACTTTATGGCTGAAAGGTATATTGCATATTAATAAAAAAATATAGAAAATATTTTCTATCCAAATATGTCGCAAAAAATCGGATTTTGAGGTCATCGTAGAGCGGAAGGTCTTGTAAATAATTTCAAATAACTGTAAATAAAAATTTTCATTTTCAACTCCCTTAATTTCATATAAGATCTGAGATGTTATCAGCGGCAGAAACGTCGCTTAAATGTGTGAGAACCAATTTGGAAATGAATGAGATCCACAAATTAATGTGATTAAAAAAAAAAACAACAACAACATCACCACAAAGCTCAAAACTTGAAGCGTGCCAACCGGTTTTATTATGCCGGTCTCATATAACCAGACCCCCAACAAAGACCTGCGACGACTTAATTGTTAATCATATTGGTTTGTATTTCGTTGTTTGAATCTGAATCTGCTGTGTCATATGGGAAAGTATGTTTTGATGACTTGCAAATTGGGAGCCAGAGATAATTAAAATGTAAATAAATTAGAAAAAAAGGCAACAAGTGGATATTATCGCAAAAAAACCAGTAAGGAAAGTTGTAAAGTCGGACGGGGCCGACTATATGATACCCTTCACCACTTTAGGTATATTCAACAGATGAATCCTAACAGACGTCGCATTTTTAAAAAACCAGTAAAATGAAATTGGATCCATAAACATGTCATTCTGCAAACGATACTAAATTTTTCATTTGGTCAGATATCGAAGCTATATCTAAATCTGAACCTAATTTTACGAAACTAAACACACATCATTCTAGACCTAATTCATTACGCTGTGCTAAATTTCGTGCAACTCGAAAGATATATAGGGAATTTGGTGCACCATTTACATTAAATCGGACGAATATATATATATATATATATATATATGGGATCTATGTCTAAATCTGGACCGATTTTCAGGAAACTTAACACACATCATTCTAGACTTAATT